TAGTCCCTGTCCAGGGGCCTGGGACACAGCTGAACCATTGTCAGCATGATACAGCCTAGAGTCACTTGAGAGGAGGGCCTCAACTAAGACGCATCTAGATCAAACTGGCCTGTGGCCATGTCTGTGGAGGGCTGTCTTGATTGCTAACTGGTATAGGCTAGCTCGCCCATCATGGGGTGCACCATTCCCTGGGCAGGTGGGCCTAAGCTAGCTCAGGACGTTAGCTGACCATGAGCCTGTGATAAGTGAGCCAGGAAGCAGCACCCTGCATGGTTCCTGCTGTACTTCTTCGGTTGCGAAGTGGGTTCCTTGATCAGAGGCGATGCCATGTGATATAGTGAGAAATACTGCCTTCGTGTCCTGACCCTGCCCTGGCTTCCCTCATGATGGACTGGGTCTGGATTATAAACTGATGGACCCCTGTCCTCCTCTAAGCTGTTTGATCACAACAGAAAAGAAACTAGAACACCTAGAACACCCCCCACGCCAGGATGGGAATCTGGGACAGTGTGCCCTACTGTCGTTTCCCCTTTCTCCTGTTCCTTGAGGCTCCTGGGAGTGGGGCGTGGCATTCATGGCCTTGCCAAGGGGACCCAAGAGTAGGTAGTTCCATAAGGGCCATGTGTACAGGGGGGAATCCCAAAGCTTGGGACCAGGTCAAAAACCCTCACTGCTTTTACCTCAGTTCCCTTGGGAGACAGGAATAGATGGGTGCAGACTGTAGTCTGACCCTGAAAGCGCTTGCCCCTCACCTTCAAACAAGACTTGAGCATCCACATAACCCTTACGGAGTCTCTGTCCTCACCTGGGAAATGGAGTTGACTCTCCCTGTGTTGCGGGTCTCAGTAAGGATAGCACAAGAGCCATAGGGAAAGTGCCTAATAATAAACCTGGACAGCTGGGCAGTGGTGGCGCACACCTTTAATCCCAGCACTCTGGAGGCAGAGACAGGTGATCTCTGTGAGTTCAAGGCCAGCCTGGTCTACAGAGTGAGTTCCAGGACAGCCTCCAAAGCTACAGAGAAACCCTGTCTCGAAAAACAAAACAATATACATACATATATATATATATAATGTTTATTTATTTACAGGACTTCATGTCTCAGTAGATAGCAGCATCCATGCTTTCTAGCCACTTGCTGGGAGGAACTGGGCAGGGCCCTTGGATTATGTAAGCTTGAAACCCTTTCAGCTGCTAAGATCTGCACCATTGGTTTTGGGGTTGGGGTTTTTGATATAAGGTCTTATTTTGTAGCCCAGGTTGGACTCACATTTGGAGCAGATTCCTCTGACTCAGCCTCCTGAGTCTAGGCTTACAGGTGTGAGCCACTACACCTTTTCTTCCTGTGAGGAACATTGATTACTGTCATAAGGGTAATTTAAAAACATAGAATGTTATTGTAGAGAAGGCACCAGGAAAGCATGTGGGGTACAGCTGCTCAGACACCTCGAGCTGTCATGGTCTAACTAGAGGTGGCAGGGACAGAAGCCTTGCCAAGGTCTCTGTTCTGCGGGTCGATCTGGGTGTCTGCCTGGGTGACATCTATTAGCCTAAAACTCTCTGACAGTGTTTCACAATCTGTGTGTGTGTGTGTGTGTGTGTGTGTGTGTGTGTGTGTGTGTGTGTACATGTGCCACATCGTGACCGTGGAGGTCAGAGGACAGCCCACAGCCTTCGTCCTTGTCTTCCACTATTTGGTGCTTCAGGACTGAGCTGCGGTTGTCATTTGCCAGGAAGCAAATGACCTGGCTGAGGCATGTCCTACGCCCTTTTTTCTGTCCTTAAATCGGTGGCTGCCTGAGAGGAGGCCACAGGCTTAAGGGACATGATACTGGCCTCTGCCTGGTACACAGGGCCCTCTGCCAATATGATTGAAGGGGTGTACTACTAGGAGGGATAAGGCTTCTTTTGGGTGCCCTAACACTCTCCTTCAGAGCATCCACATAGCACAAGCCACACATACCACACGTACAAACCATACTCTACATACCATGCACACACACACACATACACACACATACACACCTCACACACACATACACACACCCCCACACAGACACACCCCCCCCACACATACACACACCCCCACATACACACACACACACATACACACACCTCACATACACCCCACCCCCACACATACACCCACACCCACCCACCCACACACACACAGACACACACACACATACACACCCCCACACATACACACACCTCACACACACACATACACACACACACACACATATACACCCACACCCACACCCCCCCCACACAGACACACACACACACAGAAAACTGCCTTTTCCACTGTCTACACACTGAGCCCAGTCCCTGCACTACAACATCCACCTTAGCTGATTTATTCTTTGTACAGCCCTGGCTGTCCTAGAACTCACTCTGTAGACCAGGCTGGCCTCAAACCTACTTCTGCCTCTGTGATTAAAGGCAGATGTCACCATCACCCACCTGGTGACTGCTATCTGTTTAAAAAATAACTTATTTAACTTTATTTTGTGTGCATTGGTGTGACGGTATGAGATCCCCTGGAACTGGAGTTACAGACAGCTGTGAGCTGCCATGTGGGTGCTGGGAATTGAACTCTGGAAGACCAGCCCTCTGAGCCATCTTACCAGCCCCCAGCTACTATCTTTTCATCATGCCTCATACCTGCCCTCAATTCTATCGGATTGCACCCTTTTGGAGTGCAAAAGTCCACTGCCATTCCCAGCCCTATGATCACTCACCCTCGGGCTCACCATGGCCACCACATGGACTTTGTTATCACTTGAGGCAGTGAACGCTGGTGTCCACTCTGACTGCAGCCACGTGACTTCTGGGCTTCCTAATGCCTACCGTATTCCTGCTGTCCTGTGTCTCCATGCCCCCACACCTCTGGCACTAACCTCTCTACTGTTTTTTGTTTGTTTGTCTGATTTTTAAGACAGTGTCTACACTGTGAAGTAAATTCTGATTTCAAACTCAAGATGTGGCCCAGGCTAACTTTGAACCCCTGGTCCTCTTTCCTCCACTCCTTATAGGTGTTGGACTTATAGGTGTGCACAGCCATAGCCAGTTACATGGTGCTGGCGCCTGAAGCCCCCACACCTCAGTCCCTAGACTCTGCAGTAGCCCTTATGGAGGAAGTATTTGTCAGTCGTCTGCTTATTTTTACGTTTGTATACTTATTGGTACTTACTACCTGGTATGTGGCAAGTAGTCAGCTTTGAAAACAATAAAACCATGGAAAATGAGATACGGTTTACAACCCTTTACCAGATGGCTTCTTCTAAAAGGTGAGGGCTACAAGAAAAATCACTCCACCCACTCTATATTTCTGCCACAGCCCCCAGGGAGTCCTGCTAAATGTCTGTACTTCATGCATGAGTAAACTGGGAGACAGAGGGGCAGATTTTTTTTTTTTAAGATTTGTTTATTATGTATAGTGTTCCTCCTGCATGTGCACCTGCAGACCAGAAGAGGGCACCAGGTCTCATTACAGATAGTTGTGAGCCATCATGGTTGCTGGGAATTGAACTCAGGATCTCTGGAAGAGCAGCCAGTGCTCTTAACCTTTGAGCCATCTCTCCAGCCCCCATTTTTCTACAGTATGGTTTGTGAATACAACCCACAGGCTATCAGGTTTTTTGTTGTTGTTTGTTTTCTGAGACAGGGTTTCTCTGTGTATAGTACTGGCTGTACTGGAACTTGCTCTGTAGATCAACCTGGCCTCGAACTCACAGAGACCGCCTGCCTCTGCCTCTCAAGTGCTGGGATTAAAGGTGTGCGCCACCACTGCTCAGTGGGATTGCTTGCTTGCTTTCCTCCTTCCTTTCTTTTGGAATTTGTTTAAGTCACAAAGTCATGAAGTGGCTGAACCGAGACTGGAATAGCATCTCTCTGAGGCTGGTTTCAAGATGCACACCGATTGCAACACCACACAGTACATACCACAACCGTACACACCATACACACTACACACCACACACACACACACACACATATACCACACACACCATACATACACCACACATACACACACATATACCACACACACCACACACACACACCATACATACACCACACCACACCACACCACACACACACACACACACACACACACACACACACACAACCACCCCACGCACTGTGCTTCTGGGAAGAGGCGGTCTTCGGGGTGGGGCGGACTGGACAGGGCGGTCTCTGATGGAGGAAGTCCTAACCCGCTTCTGGAGTCCAGAGCCGCGCTGCAAGCCCTAGGTCTGGGTCTGGGATGGAGGCAGAGCCGCCGCTCTACCCTGTGGCTGGGGCCGCAGGCCCTCAAGGGGATGAGGACCGTTTCGGAGTTCCTGATGGGCCAGAGGCTCCGGTGAGCAGGGTTGGAAGCTGGGCCAGCGGCCTCGGCTGGGCACCCGGGAAGGGGAGGGACCCTGGAAGGGAACCTGAGCACTCTAGGATAGGGGGCGGGACTCCACACCTGCAACCGGAGTCTCCGAGTGGGGACTCACACCCCAGGGTGGGACTCTGGGTGGGGGACCCGGAACCCAGCATGGGGAGCACGGATCTTGAGAAAGCGGACCGGACTCTGGGTCAGGGGGACCGGGCCCCTAAAATGGTGGACTGACACCCCGAATGTGGTGCAAGGATCCTAGGATGAGGACTAGGACCCTGGATGGGGAACCCAGACTTTGGGAAGGCGGGATGGGGGCGCTAGAACCAGAGAGTTAGCGTGTGATTAGCGATCTGACCTGCAGCTGGACGAGCTGGTGGGTGCGTACCCCAACTACAACGAGGAGGAGGAGGAGCGCCGCTACTACCGCCGCAAGCGCCTCGGCGTGGTCAAGAACGTGCTGGCGGCCAGCGCGGGTGGCATGCTCACCTATGGCGTCTACCTCGGTAGGGTGGCTGCAGGAGCCCTACTGTCCCTCCGCCACCCCGCCTCCACTCCCGAGCTGGGAAAGAGAAACCTTGCGGCCAGCTAGCCTCCTTCCCCTTTCACTTACCCGGTCAGAGCTATTGTTGTCACGGCATGCGCACGGGACAGAGAGGGGGTGCCACAGGCTAGTTTGCCCACGCCCCGGCCCAAGAATGGATGCAGATGGGTGGGAATGAGCTCTTGTTTTCCCTATCCCGGTCCTGATGAGCGAACGAATGGGGCCAGGCTTGCTATGGGCTTCGGTTTGGTTACTCTGAGTCAGACTGCTTAGAGTTCTCCACGCTGCCCCCTGTCCCCAGGCCTCCTGCAGATGCAACTGATCTTGCACTATGATGAGACCTACAGGGAGGTGAAGTACGGCAACATGGGGCTGCCGGACATCGACAGCAAGATGCTGATGGGTATCAACGTGACGCCCATCGCTGCCCTGCTCTACACACCTGTGCTGATCAGGTCCCAAGCTGCTGTCCCCTGACTTCCGGGTGGTGCAGAGGCTGCTGGACCAAGAGACCCCCAGCTGCCCTGGTGCTTTGGAGGGAGGGGACAGGGAACTGCAAAGAAGTCTTGCTTGCCTGGGAAAGTGAGAAGGAAAGGGGGAAATCCCTACTAGAGAAGGAACCAAGAACTTGTCCCTCACCTCCCCACCCCCTTGCACATTTGGTTTCTTCAAGAAATTCAACCAGTCTCTGGCTTGGTGGCATTCTTCTACCAGACACATAGTGACTTCCTGAGCTGAAGCTGTGAAGTCCTCAGCATAGTCCAGGTCCTCAGCCCAGTGAGCTATGACTGTGTGAAAGGCAGTTCTCACAGGAAGGGCCTTAGCGCCGGGCGGTGGTGGCGCATGCCTTTAGTCCTAGCACTCGGGAGGCAGAGGCAGGCGGATCTCTGTGAGTTCGAGGCTGGGCCGGACCGACAGCCTCCAAAACAATACAGAGAAACCCTGTCTCGTAAAACCAAAAAAAAAAAAAAAAAAAAAAAAAAAAAAAGAAAGAAAAAAGAAAGGCCTTAGCTAGACAGGGCTCAGGTTGGAGGTCTTCCTGAGCTCTGAGGCATATATGGTCCAACCTCCTGGAGGACACTGCAGAAATTCCCCACAGCCTGATGAAATTCCTGAATGGGGAGATAGGTTGAGTGGGTTCTAGCTCCTGCCTCCTCCTCCTCCTCTGTGTAGCAGCTCTGGCGGTCCTGGAACTACCTCAGTAGATCAGGCTGGCCTTAAACTCATAGAGTTCCACCTGCCTCTGCCTCCCAAGTGCTGAGGTTAAAGGCATGTGCCACCATTTTTTTTTTTTTTGAGAGTAGCCTGGCTGGCCTAGAACTCACTTTGTAGATCAGGCTAGTCACAAGCTTGTGGTGATCCTCTTGTCTCTGTCTCTGCCTCTGCCTCTGCCTCCCAAGAGCAGAAATTACAGATGTGTACACCATCCACCATCCAGGCTTTTCTGCCTTTTGTATATTTGTTTGGTTGGTTGTGGTTTTGTTTCTCTGTATTGTTTTGGAGGCTGTCCTGGAACTCCCTCTGTAGACCAGGCTGGCCTTGAACTCACAGAGATCTGGAGTGCTGGGATTAAAGGCGTGTGCCACCACGCCCGACTTACAGTAAATTCTTTTTTTTTTTTTTTTTTTTTTTGGTTTTTCGAGACAGGGTTTCTCTGTGGCTTTGGAGGCTGTCCTGGAACTCCCTCTGTAGACCAGGCTTGCCTCGACCTCACAGAGATCCGTGTGCCTCTGCCTCCCATGTGCTGGGATTAGAAGCGTGAGCCACCAACACCCTGCTCCTGCTTTCTTTTTTAAATTAAATAAAAGTTGTTTCCTCACTGGGCAGGGTGGCGCATGCCTTTAATCCCAGGCCCTAGGACGGCAGAGGCAGGCAGATCTCTGTGAGTTCAAGACCAGCCTGGCTTACAAAGGTACACAGAGAAACCCTGTCTGGAAAAACAAAAACAAAGCAAAAAACCCTCTGCTTGAACTCTGTTGCATTGTGTTAATCTTAAGCTGCTTTTTAAAAATTACAGCACCTACAGTCTGCTCCCAAGTAATCACTCAGAGGCTTAATATATGTTATAAATGCTTGGCCACTAGCTCAGGCTTATTACAAACTAGCTCTTACAATTTAACCCACTTCTATTAATCTATGTGCTGCCCCAAGGCTCGTGGCTTTAACTTCTATCCGGTTTTGTTGTCCGACTCATTCTCTGTCTGGCTGGTGACTCCTCTGACTCCACCCTTTCTCATCCCATCATTCTCAGTTTGGCTTTCCCACCTAACTGTGTCCTGTTGAGTTACTGACCAGTCAGCGTGTTTATTAAACCAATCATGGTGACATTTATTCACACAGTATACAGAAGGATTGTTCCACAGCAGAGTTGTCACCACCCACAGTGAGCTGGATCCTACTACATCGATAAGCAATGTAGAAAATGCACCATAGGCTTTCTTACAGGCTAATCTGTTGGGGGCACTTTCTCAGCTGACCTTCCTTCTTCCCAAATGATTCTAAGTTTTTGTGTCTAATTGACATACAACTAACCTGCACACAGGGTCTCACCTGGTAGCCCCAACTGACTCTCAGAATTCTATTGGTTCAGCCCTCTGAGTGTTGGGACTACTGACATGTGTTATTACACTGGCTGACTTTATACCTTTTGAAACCTATCATCTTTAATAATAACAGCAATCCTTATTTTGTTCCATCATGCAGCCAGGGTAGCTGCCCTTACTTTAGACATGAGGCAATCCTGCAGTTTCTACACACAGGGGAAGTGGGGAGCTGGCAGGTTTGAGGCCTGGCAGTGTGGCTGAAACCCACATTCTTGCTCTTTTTTTTTTTTTTTTTTTTTTTTTTTTGGTTTTTCGAGACAGGGTTTCTCTGTGGCTTTGGAGGCTGTCCTGGAACTCACTTGGTAGTCCAGGCTGGTCTCGAACTCACAGAGATCCGCCTGCCTCTGCCTCCCGAGTGCTGGGATTAAAGGCGTGCGCCACCAACGCCCGGCTCCACATTCTTGCTCTTATCATATTACCAGGCCACTTTTCCAAAGGGCCATGGAGCCTGTATAGCCACTAGCTGTGCGTCCCGGTCCCCACGCCCCATTTTTGTTTGTTTGTTTTTTTTTTTTTTTTTTTTTTTTTTTTGGTTTTTCGAGACAGGGTTTCTCTGTGGCTTTGGAGGCTTTCCCGGAACTCACTCTGTAGACCAGGCTGGCCTCGAACTCACAGAGATCCGCCTGCCTCTGCCTCCCGAGTGCTGGGATTAAAGGCGTGCGCCACCAACGCCCGGCTCCACGCCCCCATTTTTAAGTGTTGGTAACTGAACCCAGGACACTATGCATTCTAGGCAAGCGCTTTATCACTCTGCTGCAACACTAGCCCTAATGTGTGCTGTATATTGACTTTATTCACTTACAGACAGGGTCTTATGTATCCCAGGCTGGCCTTGAAGAACCTAATTTCAATCTCCAGCACCCACATGGTGGTTCACAACTGGTTATAACTACAGTTTCAAGGGATCGGACACCACTTCTGGCCTCCAGGGGCACCAAGCATACACATGACCAGCCTGGAATATATGAGACCTTGAACTTTTGGTTCTCTTGACTCTATTTCCCCAGCGGGGATGCAGGCATGTATCACCGGGCCCAATTTCATGTGATACTGGAGATGGAATCCAGGGCCTTGCAAGCGCAAGCATCCTACCCACGGGTTACGGCCTGGGCCTGTGTGTCTTAAGGGTTAGAACATATTCAACTGGGAGTGGTGGCACACACACTGGGATACAATGTTTTTATTCCAACCACGAGGATGAGCCAGGTGGCTCTCTAGGAGTCCAGCCTGCTCTGCATACCAAGCTCCAGACCAGTCATAATGATACCCTGTCTTTAAAGCAAAAAATATAAAAAAGTTAACAAAAATTTTGTGTGTACAGATATATGGAGGCCAGAGGTCAGCACTGAGTCTCTTTCTTGATCTTCTAACATTATTTTGGTGAAGTTTTTTTTTTGTTTTTGTCTTTATTTTACTTTTGCTTTTGTTTTATGTTTTGAGATAGGGTTTCTCTGTATTGTCTTGAAGGCTGTCCTGGGACTCACTCTGTAGACCAGACTGGCCTCAAACTCATAGAGATCCACCTGCCTCTGCCTCCTGTGTGCTAGGGTTAAAGGCGATCCACCACCACCCGGCAAGATTTATTTTTCAATCTTATTTTATTTTTATGTGTAGAATGTTTTGCCTGTTCATACCAAGTGTATGCTTGGTTTCCCAGGAGGCCAGAAGAGATGTTTGATCCCTTGAAAGTGGAGCTACAGCCAGTTGTGAGCCACCATGTGGGTGCTAGAAATTGGAATCTGGCCCGTTGTCAGAACAGCCAGTATTCTAGTGTTTTTAACAACCACTTAGCCATCTCTGCAACCCCTACCTTATTGTTTAAATTACTATTTTGTGTGTGTACATGCATATGTGGAAGTCAGAGGTTTACCTTTTATTTTTATTTTATATATAGTCTCTCACTGGAACTCAGACTAGGCTGGCTGGCTAGTGAGCTCCAGGAATCCCCAATACTAGGATTATAGGTGCATACCACGGCACCTGGCTTTTCACGCAGTACAGGCCCAGAGCTTGCTCAGCAAGCTCTTTATTGAGTGGATGACCTCCCTGGCTCTGTCTTCTCATTTCCTGTCTTTGCAATGACTGTGTAAGACCTGTGGCAGGGCCTGTGCTGCAGTCACAGCTGTGTCCCCGAGATTGCATCTCTGAGCCTTTGACTCTCAGGCCAAAACTTCCTGTGACCTCCCAAAGCCACGGAAACTGGGACCCGAGGCCCTGATGGTTAGGGCCCCAGCAATTTCTAGGCTGTGGTACTAATGTCCCTCCCTCTGTACAGGTTTTTTGGTACCAAGTGGATGATGTTTTTAGCTGTGGGCATCTATGCCCTCTTTGTCTCTACAAACTACTGGGAACGCTACTACACATTGGTGCCCTCTGCTGTGGCTCTGGGCATAGCCATTGTGCCTCTCTGGGCATCCATGGGCAACTATATCACCAGGTAAGTCTGATGGGTAGGGGGACAGAGGCTGGAAAACAGGTTGAATATTTATTTCTTTGCTGACTTAAGCTAGGGAACCCTAGGCAAGCCTTTGACTTTGCTGGACCTCAGTTTCCCTGCTGAAGCTGGCTAGCCTATAGCTGTAGCTGCAGGAAGAAGTGTGGCAGAGGGCAGGCTG